GACAACTTGCCCAAAATTATATAGGTGAAGTGAAATCCTGGAATCCAATTCCAGACGGTATAATATAAAATTAACCTCAGCACTTTCAACACCTGTTGCATACCAGAATCACGTTTTTCTGTCAAGAGAGGTAATACTTTTTCGTTTCCACTCTCGAAAATGTCTCCTACCAGTCCATTCTAGGTTGGCGTGCGCGCTCATCACCTAATTAATTCAACCTGAGGAACTGCCCACGCCATCCAGCAGTGACTAGATTACTCACCTTTTTAGAGAAAATAGTATGCTAACGACGTAGCCCTTCATTCAGGCAGGAAATAAATGATATTCTACACTAGACTTATTTACGGTCATGAAAACAATTGCAGATTTCAAATATGAAATGGGTGATTCGTCTTGATGCGGAAAATAAACGTAACACGTTTGACGTAGGTCAAGGTTGTTCAAGACCAAAGTCTAGACCCCTCCTCAAAGTCAAACCACTTCGAAAGCCTCTTCGTCCATGAAGCTGAAGGTCGAAAAATCCGCGTGAATCAATAGAGGTTATTCAATGTTGAACCCAAAACACTACCAAAAAGTCACCTTGCCTAGGTCATTTAACGTAGGTCAAGTTCGTTCGAAATTAAACTCGAAACGCTCACTTGTAGTCACCTGGACCACTTTGTATCCAAGGAAGCTGCGTAACTGGCTCGAGTTCATCCGAAGTCAGTCACCTTATCGAAAATATAAGGAGTTCAAGGTTAAACTCAAAATATCACCTCAAAGTCACCTGACCTGCTTCGTGTGACGTATGAGGTCGTTCAAGGTCGAACTCAAGACACCTCCTCAAAGTCAACGCACTCCAAAATTCTCTTCATCCATGCAGCTGAAGGTCGTTCAATGATGAATTCTCGAATCTTCGAAATGGCCCCGTGAAGTAATGGAGGTCATTCAATGTCGAACCCGAAACACTAACTCGATGTCACCTTGTCTGCGCCGTGTGACGTAGGTCGAAGTCGTTCGAAGTTGATCTCGAAACACTCCCTCAACTCACTTTGGGTACGTTGTGTTTAGTCGGTTCAAGACTTCAAGAAAACTGCTGTTTGGTATTCATCTGTTCTTGTATGTGGGTTGAGGTATGGTTATCATTATCATAATTATTATTTTTTAACCGTAGTTTGCGCTGTTCGGGCCCTTTCCCTCGAAGCCACGATACATTCGGGAGGGCGCGCCAGCATTATCAACCGATCTGTAATTCGTAGGAATCGACAAATCTCTGCTAACCAATCCGGAATCGGCTGCTCTCCGTCTAGTCATGAGTTGAATCACACACCCCATCTTGTCAGATGGGGTGTGTGATTGTTAGTTTTTTCCACTGATAAGTGTTCAGTTCATCTGGGCCTGGAGCAGCAAGGTTCTTAGAACCCACAAGGGCTCTTCGAACGTCATCCGGGGTTATCGAGTTACAGAGTTCATTGAGCTCAGGCTGTCGAAGCTCTCCGTTGAAAGCTTCGAACTGAGCTAGGGCTGGATTATCTAATTTGAGAGGCTGTGGGTGTTCCTAAGTATCCTTTCAGGAAGATTCCACCTGATCAGCGGTCGATGGATTATCCACAACACGCTCTTGTAATAGGCGAGAAGGTTTTTAGCGGAACCTAAGGTTTTTCGCGATACTTCTTGCTTGCCTCACTAGTGACTCCTCAGCAGCCACTAGCATTCATGATTGATATGTCGTGGTTTGGCGGCTCCCTGCTGCACTGCTGGCGTGAAATGCCTGTTGGCCGCCCTGTAATCCATCACACATTGGATACGAGACGCGTATAGTCTCGCCGACGTGATCTTAGTTTCCATTTTGTGTACACACCGTTGAATTTTCTGAATCGCGAAGCTGTTCTTTCGATTCGGAAAGCGATTGGATGACGCTGTACACACGGCGGCGTTGATTTTCCAGATGCCAGCCTCTTCTGTTAGAACACTATGAACCTCCGCATACAAACAAGCCAGTTCTTGCGACTTCAAGGGCCTAATTCTGATTGACTCCATTGGTGGTATGATGCGAGTCTCCTCTCCAGACGTGCCAACGGGTGGTAGAACTATCACTTCTACCACTTCGTTAACAGGCTGCCCATTGGAGTTGAATTGATAATTGCCCCCGCCTTCATAATGAAAACTCGTTATTATAATAGAAAATAATTGATACATTTACGGAAAACATAGCCGCTTTGAGAATTATGAAATAACCTGCCTCCCAGTGAGACTTCATTCTTACACAAATGCTTAGCGAACGTTTAGCTCCTATCAAAATTTCTCATTTCAAACTGAATCATCGTTCCAGTGATATGCCCAGCTTCAAGCAAATAGTCGATTTCCTGAAAAAACCATGCACCGCTTACGAAACAATTGCCTCTACAAGCAGTAGGCGATCAACCCATTCAAAAAAAATGTTCACGCAGATTCCCAACGAAATAGCATTTCTTGGTTTTCGAACACCCGCACTAATAATCGCCCTTGTATCTCTTGCTGAAAGTTTTGATCATTTCATATATAAATTTCCCCGAAATTTAAATAAATCGCTCCAAGAACGATCCACATTTGTTAAACAAAATACATTGTGCAATAATTTTCTCGGCAGTTTTCACGCGTTACGTTTTCACAAATCCAGTTCTTTCTGTTTGCAATGTTCTTCTGAAACTCATCATTCTACTCTTTATATAGATCGCTCCGAAAATTCGCGTTCCGCAAATGTCAATAGAAACAAGAATACATTTTCTAATGATTTTCCTACCTCAAATGTAACAAACTCTGGTTAAAAGACCAGTTGTGCTTTCGTAATCACACTTAGATTGAAAGTTAAGGACTGTACGGTCAAATATCAGGATTCCGAGAGCGAATCGTGTTTTATTACAAAATCTTGTGCCCGCCACTTAGAATTACCTGTTAATAGCTTATTAATGACTATTCATGGTTTAGGTGAAATGAAAACATTGTCTAAATCTGGTGGAGTATTCTGTGAAATCAAACCCAGTTCACGATTTTGTTGCTATTATTTTGGAGTCAATTTGTGAAAACCTTCCGACGACTAGTTTTGGGGTTATGAAGTGGAAACATATAAACAATCTCAATTTAGCAGATGAAACTTTTGATGAAGAAAGCCTGTTAGAAATTTCACTTTGAGTTGATATTTCTACGAGAATTTTGTTGAATGACAAAATACATCTGCATAAAACGTGATTATCACCCCAAAATTCATTCGTTTTTCACTAACGAAAGCATTTTAGATGATTCTATTGAAAATTTTTGGAATCTGAAAGAGGTTCCCCAAGTTAATTCAACCTTTTCAAAAGAGGACGATGACATTTCGGGAGACATTTCGGGAGACTACAATTCGCACTGTAAATGATATTTGGTTTCATTGCCTTTCAAAAATAAATACATTGAATTCAATAATTTGAGATTATCACCCTTCGTCGTATTCTCGTTTTAGAAAAACGTTTTTTACAGATCACAAAAAAGTGAAAACTCATATTACCTTCCACATCATCCAATCTTTAAAAATGATATATTACTGGTAGTATATGATTCGAATAATTCATCTACGAATGATGCTTTGTTGACTGGCCCTAAGCTTCAGCAGGATATTTTTGCACTCTTGCTCAATTTCAGATTAGGAATTATCGTTGTGACTGCCGACATAAGGTCCATGTTTTCTCAGATTCTGGTTACACCATAACACCAATATTATTTAAACATTTTTTGGAGGTTCAGTCCTAATGAATCGTTATTGGAATATAATTTGAAATGAGTTGGGCTTAATTGTTCACTATTTCTAGCAATGGGCACGCTCATTCATTCAGCAAAATCTGTAGCCCATACATTACAAACGCAATTAATATCTTTACTTCGAACAGCAGGTTTTGATCTAAAAAAGTGAACTAAAAATCATTCGAAATTGATTTCTTACTTGCCTCCAGATCATGTCAATCATAACTCTTTGATGTTTGATGATAATTCAAATTCGAGGTTGGAAGTTTCAGGACTGGGATATTTTCTTATAAATGGTTACTATTCATATTCGGTGAATTCTGTTGATGAATTATGTACTAAGCGAAATATACTGTTTAACCTGGCTCGCATCTATAATCCTGTCAGATATTTCAACGGCTAAATTTTTTATTCAAGGTTTATGGATCCTCAAAGTGAGTTGGGATGAAATTCTTCCTAAAAAAATTGAAAGGAAATGGAAGAAAGTCAATGTACAACTTTCAAATCTTTCTTCTATTCAAATACCTCGATATTTGTACACTAATCCTATTCAGAAGATATATTTGTGTGGGTTTTGTGATGAATCTCTCAAGGCCTATGCGGTTTGCATTCCATGCATTTTTGTAAATGCATGGAATTCGTGATTGAAACATGAAAACAAAATACTAATTGAAAATATATATATACCTTTTCTAGTAGTACTCTTGTTTTGCATTGGTTGAACTTTTAGCATATAAATGGAAACATTTTGTTGGTAATCGCGTATCCGTCATAAAAGACACTATCGATTGCTCAATGGTATAACGTTCAGTCTAAAAATATTTCCGATTGTGATAGTAGGGGATTATATTCTGATGAATTCATGAAAATTGAGGAGTGGTGGAAAGGTTCTACTTGGTTATATTCTAATCAAGAAAACTGGCCTGTCACTTCAATTCAAGACCTTCAACCAAACTCAGAAGCATGTAATGAAGTAAGGAAGATAATATTATCAGCATCTGTTGATCGTAACCGTTTAGATACACTTCTTAAAAATATTATTTTCTCGAAAAAATGAAAGTAATTGTTGCTTACATTTCCTGCTTCTATACTATAATAAACTAGTTTATTGTATTAGTTTGAGAATGTCCATATAGGACGAAACTGCAGTAATGTCAGTTACAATTAAAAGTGGTGAAAAACAGAAATTTTCATTTCTCTTTTCGTTATTCTTACTGATATTGTTAACATTTCATCATTGGTGAGACCGGTTTATACGCACGTGCAGAGGTCGGAGAAACAGTCGTGAATGGAGAAGACAGGAAGCAAGACGTGTGTTGCGCTAAATTGTGTGTGTGAAGTGAAAATTATAAATATCCACCGCCAAAAACAGCATCCTCCAAGATCGCTACCAGGGTATTCCACGATCACAGATTAGGAAGTGAAACCAGATGGCAAGGAGATTTTCTGAAAATAAATAAGGTTGGTGTTGTCTATCATTAATTTCTGAATTATCTCTTCCTTAAATATCCAACAATCAGCCCACATACGCTAAATACAGTCGTTATCGAACAGCCGCATAAGTGGCTCGAGTTCACTCGAGGTCAAAGTAACCTAGTCGAAAATATGAGGAGTGAATGAAGCTCACTCAAGCTTAAACCCAAAACACTACCTGTTCATCACCTTGCTTTGGTCGCCGTGTAATGTAGGTCAAGGGTGTGGCGTAGGTCAAGGTCGATCAAGGCCGAGCTCAAAACAATCTTTCAAAGTCACCTTGGTTGCTTCGTATGACGTATGTAGAGGTCATTTCAAGATTGAAAGGTGGTGAGGGAAGGTTCTAAAATCGGTATAAACCAACAACTTACTTCCAATTCGAAACTATCGCCAAGGAATTTCTACTAGGGTCAATTTTTCTCAGGATCGCTATTCACAGCCGACCTGTAACGGGGGTGAGCAGAAAAGCTTTGTGTGTGGAAGATATATGTGATTACTTTCGTTTCAAGGCTACCACCAAATACTCAATCGTACCTCATTCCGGAAAAGAGATGATTGATAGAAATCGATAGACTGAAAGTATATAATGTGGAACAGTTTTTGTTGAAGTGGCATATTTTTAGTAGAGATTAATTTCTAAAAGATTCACTCATTTTTTGTATGAATATAGGAAAGTAGAAAGCCAAAACTTTTCTTACCCAAGATATGGTTGTTAACTTGTGATGCACTGTCTGGAATCTTTGGTGTAGTAATGAATATTACTGGAGTTTTATCCCAACACCAAATCTTTATTTTCACCTCAACACGTGTTACGATCACCAAGTGATCATTTTCAGGACGTGTCGAGGTGTTGAAAATAACGGTTTGGTGTTGGGATAAAAATCCAGTAATATTCATATAGTTGTTTCACAAAAATGAGCAACTTAAATAGTCAATCTTCTGGATCTTGCTTGTTCAATGTTTTATGGAACTAGAGTTCATGTGTTCCTTTCATTCAAATCAATTCGTTATGTTATGATTGTGGAAGATATCGTGTATTTTTTTCAACACAATACCCGTTTTCATCCAGGAATAAAAAACATCTAGAAATGAAGAGAGGATTTTGCAGTAACAGATGTATGTGAGACAAACCAAAAATTGGCCAAATCATCTCAGGTAACGAATGACATTCTGAGAGAATGAAAAATGAATAAAAAACACAAGGTGTTTTTTAAACATTCAGCAAAAATTTAAGGGATTATTTCTTGGACTATTCTAAGAATATTTTGTACCTTGATAATTTTTGATAGGGCACTTTGTTTCGATGATACTGAGCCAAAACGAATTTTGACAATAACAATTTATTACCAAAAATCACAGGTAATGTTTCTTAATCTACAAGAAATGTTGAAATTGACTACCCCCGCTCGAACGTAAGAATCCAATTTTCTCCTCATCGATTCTCGAACTCTTTCAAAAGCACCAGGATCACTTACGAGACATACTATTCAAATTCAATGTCTGCAGCCCTTTGTAGTAATCGGAATGTTGATGATAGGTACCACAGGAATTGATGGATTTTTTATCATTCGGTAGGTCCAGTGTAGAACGCTATACTTTTTGTTTCGGCTACGTTAATAATTTCAAAGTTCAAAGAACTAAATATATTCGGAATATACAAGAAATGGTCCCTTAACTTTTTGCCGCATGTTTAATAAACACCCTGTATATCAGTGACTTCACTTAATGATTTTATATACGTGAAAACGTGACAGTTGTTCAAGGTGTACAATATAGACATTACGAAAATGTTTATATTATACACCTATATTATAATATACAAGGAAAAATTGAAGTAGGATATCAACACAGTAGAAACGATTTTCCAAAGCACCTCAGGTGAGATTGGATCGATTACACCCTGAAATAATAACGCACTTGACACTCGAAAATTGAGGTTGAAGAGGTGATTAGATAAAGGTTAAAAATAATATAGACGATATTATAAGGCTATTCATGACATCAGGGAATATTCTTTGACATGAAAATAAAGTTAATTTGGGAAGAAAATGAGCAGTTAGCAGTTATATTCGCAATAATAATAGCGAATTCATATTAAATAGAAAAAAATACAAAGATATGTGATGTCAGCGCTAAATAAACGGAAAAGGAGGTGGAGTCGTAATAGAAATTCATGAGTGATGAATGAATGAATGTTATAAAGGTCTTTTTGTTGTAATCAATGGGGAGAAGCAATCACTTCTCAAAAATAACTCTCAGATTTATGTCATACTTTGACCACACGACAATCGAGAATACTTATTATGAAAGCGAAAATACACTGGTATGACGAGAAAGTATGTGCGGTGATAACCACAGGCTTTGATATAGTTCATTATGTATGCAATCTGAATAGAAATAAGGTTCAGAGATATCATATCGGATATATTCAGGGTCAAAATGTTCACCGTTGCCTTTATGTTTGATTTTAAACTATGAAATACCACGAAATATATATAATTTCATCACAAAGTTCATTTTATATATTTATCACCATCACTTTGTGTCTGCCCCGCTGGGAACCAAATCAGGTTTTTAGAGTTCGGCAAAGCCGTACTCTCACCATCTGACCTGAAAGAAAATTGATCAATTTTCTTCTCCTGAGGATGCTAACTTTGTTGGCGAAACGCGCGTCGAGTGCAAAAATATCAGTTTGGTGTTAGGGCAATTGATCTCGGAAAAAAGTTATTCAACTTTCACACCAAAGGTTCTAATCTCATCGTTGTACAACAGATATTGATAGCATCAATGACCCACGTATTTTTAATAATGTTGGTATGTTAATCTGATCGTTTGCATGATGTGGGTGTACGTTGGGGTTAAAAGTGAAAAAAAAATGATGAAGCGTGTCAAATTTTCCAAGGGGGTGTTAAGTGCCACAAAAAAAAGCTGTCATCCAATAATCTGAGATTTCGATCTGACGCAAACTCGCGGCCATTATTATAATGTGCAAAAAATATCGCCATTTTGAAATACTCAAGCGCGTCAGATTAAGATATATATGGTTTATCTTTATGTTTTAGACGTGCTGTCTCATAATCTGACGATTATCTAGAGGGATTTGCCTAATCTCACAATTTTTTTTTTAAATCATTGTAATTAAATAATTGAAAAGCTCATGCAAATAAATAAGTGTATGTTTTTTAAGTAGAATACTTGTATTTA